TTTAGTTTTGTTTCTTTCCGTTAACTGTCAAGTGGGAAATAGGTATTTTTTGTGTTTCTCTTATTATCCTAAGATACTGTTATGTTTGGCTGTGAATACGTTTGGCTGTGAAAAAGAAATATGAAGGACAGACCATCTATTTCTATTTATTTGTTTTTTTAGAAAGGGGCTGGTAATATAAGATAGTTTTCTTCTTCCTGCTCCTTTTCGGTCAATGGTGTGTTAATAGAGACACGTTTTGTTAACGTTATTATTATACATTAAGATTTACATACCATGAACGGAATTTAAAAAAAATGAAATAATTGCTTTTCCCCCTTTTGTTTAGGTTTTTCAAAAACAGAGAAACAAAACAACACCGTTCTCCAACCGGCCCCATCCAACCCAACTCTCAGGAGAAGACCCACACATACAAAAAACGATATTAAACACACAAACAAACAGTACATAAAATGAAATAAGATTAAAAAGAGAAGGGAGCACGATAAGAAGGATGCTCAATTAGCTTTCTTCAAAGACGGATGCATTGAAAATCATTTAAAAAGGCTGATAAATCTGATTGGCAGAGAGCTGTGACACCGTGAAAGTGGTCAAAGTGGGGGTCTAATGAGGGTATACACCCAAATACACGTTCTTACCAAGTTCACTACATTTTCTTTTGATGTTGTTTTAATTGGTCCCTTATCCATCTGTGCCCTCTCTCTCATCCATCTGTACATCATATGCTCTCGCTGAGTATGACCTATTTGCCCTTTTAACATCTGAACTCCTCTCCATTATTACTTCTTCTCAAATTCAATATTCTTTTGGCATGGCGTGACAAATATTGAATTATTTTGTACAACACATGTACAAAATCATAATGGAGTCCTGAATACATTAAGTAAATAAAATATTGAGGACGTTTTTCTGTCTTTTTGGTTGTTCCAGGATGACCCCTGAGTGAAGGGAACAGTTGTATCTACAGTACCTTTTGATCTATCACTAGCCCACCCCTCCCTGTGCCCCCTCAGGTTTTATCCCAGAGAACATTACACTTGATCTATGTCCACCAGCTTGTATTCCCTTCTTTCTTCTTCACTGTTCTCTCCCCTTTCACCCTCCTCTCCCTTTCTTTCTTCCCCTCTACTCTCTCTACCTCCCTCTCCTTATCTGTACTCCCATACCTCACATAGCACTACGGTGTATCGCATTGTAAAACGTGGAGCCATTTATAGGCTGGAGGTTATTGGTTGAGAAGGGGGCGGGGAAGGAAGTGAGGGAGATAGAGGGGGAGGGATTTTCACACAAGGAGCAAATGTACAGTATCTTTGCAGAGACGGTGCTGTCAAGGAGAACATTCATTGTTTCAGCAAATGACCCAATGTATACATTCATATTTCTTTCACGTCCCTAATAATTATAAAGCAAGTAAGTGAGCCAACTGATTTCCCGTCACCTTAACAAAGTAAATATTTTAAACCAAACCATGTTGTTTCCTTAAACCAATCAAAGTCGCACTGGTGCATAATCTTAACCCTGGGGTTGGCACATCAAAACATGTTTTTATTGGACAAATACTGTTGTCCTGCCAACAAGGGATGCATATTACATTACATTGCATTACATTGCATTTAGCTGACGCTTTTATCCAAAGCGACTTACAATAAGTGCATTCGACCAAGAAGATACAAACTTGAAGAAAACAGAATCATATAAGTACATCAGGTTTCATAGAGCCAAAACATTTCAAGTGCTACTCAACTGGCTTTAGATAAGCCAGTCCTTTATTAGTATATAAGTGCTCTGTTAGTAATTGTATCGCTCGAAGTGGAGTCGAAAGAGATGAGTTTTCAGTCTGCGCCAGAAGATGTGTACTTTCTGCTGTCTCCTGAGTCTTTGTTTCCTTCTAAAGGCCATGGATATATTTTGTTGTTCATTACATCATTTGAAGGACTTTTTGTATCTACTAATGCTGATTGACTTTCTGCATGTTAAAGAAAAATCAACAGACCTTTTACTCAGTATCATTGTAAAGAGCACTCAACATTTGTATTATTGTGAATTAATTTGAAGATCTTCAGCAATGCTTTGAGACTATTACCAAGTATTGTATGTATATCTAAAGACTGATATGTCTTATTCGTCTATCTATGGCATAGAGCACCATTCTTGTCCAAATAAATGAGTCTTAATGACCATGAATGGGACAAACTGTCGCCATGGGTGACTTCATTACAGTAAACATGGGCACTGTATTATATTTCAAGTCAATCCCAGATACAGCGTCTTGCCGCCTTAAAACGACACAAGAGCACTAAATATCTATTCTTCCGCAGCTGAAAATTGTTCCTAAAAATGCACTCTTCAGAACTGTTTCAGTAACTGAAGCTAACAACATGGTATCGAGACGTTTTTGTAAGGTACTTAGCCTTTTTTAATTAAATAATTAATTAAAAGAGCATTCCTAAAGATTAACATATTCAGTGAGAACCAATGGGCTTGGGACTAAGTGCCACAGACATGGAAGGTTAGTCGGCCCCCTTATCCCTTCAAGAAAACACACATATCCCTTTGCCATAACGCTTAGTGTCAACGGCACAACATGATGACTGACTGATAACTCAGTCGTGAATGTCAGGGGAAGAAAAGGAGGGAGGGAAAGGACTGAAGGAGCATGGGAATGTGCAGAGATTGAGTGAAAAAGAAAAGGAGCTACAAAGCAATAGAGTGCTATGGATGGGAAGAAAGGGAGAGTGAAGGAAAGGGAAGTGAGAGAGAACGACATCCTCTTCTCCTATATAAAGACTGCGAGTGTGCACAGGATATAGAGAGAGACAGAGAGAAAAGGGGAGAAGGAGGAGAGAGTAGCAGAGCATGCAGAGGAAACGAAAGTGATAGGAGCAGGCAGTCAGGCAGAGCAAAAGAGGGAGGGAGGGAGTGTGAGAGAGTGGGGGGAGCAAACACGCTCTGCACGTGATTCAATCTGTTCACATGGCCTTGTATTACGCCACGTTATAAATACTTGATGTAAGGGGCTTCTTGCCGCGAAAACCCCTCACCTTTTATTCAGAATGGATTTTGAGTTTGGAAAGCAGGATGGCAGACACCTGCAGTGCAGATATGTTTTTATTTCATATAGAATATTGGATGAAAGCAACAACGTCGCCGTGAATCCCCTGAACAGAGGAATGCAGAAATAATGCATCAGAGCATGTACAGCTCTGTTGTCGTTCACGGAAGAGAGCTGAAGCTGTCATCCGCTCTCTGAGTCCCTGTGTTATGTAATGATGGATAGGCCTTTGCTCAGTGCTCTTCTCTCCTACAGCGGCACGAATCAAATCCAGGATGTGTCCTGAATTCCTGAATTCAACAAACACACACACACTGGTGTTTGTAGGCCAGCTGTAGCCCTTCTCTGGCATTGTTTCCACAAAACATCGACCTGATTAAGTCTCTCTACAAAAGCCTGCCTACTGAATTTAAGGCTGAGGTGCTACAGTGAACCAGGATTGGCGCAAAGACAAGAGAGTTTAGCATAATGTGTTAGCCGAGTTAAGCTAAAGGAGTGATTTGAGCTGTAGGGGAGACAGTACCAAAACATTCAAGAAAACTACAACTTTGTATCACATTTGAAACACATTGGTTGTGTTGTATAATGTGTGTCTGCTGATGTGTGCAGATGTTATTTCAGGTCATGATAAGGTATGTCAGGACACATACACATGTTTTGGTCAGGGTTACGCCATTGCATGTTATGGTATATGAATCATAATTTGGCCGATTGCTATTGTGTATGAGTGCATAACATAAGGATAGTAAAATCAATTCAATAGAAAATTAAAGAATGTAGAAAAAAATCAAGAAATTCATAAAGTATGACATTTAATTAGAAAGATGAAACTTGAAAAAGGCTGACAGTGAGAATGGTTGAATATTTTTCATAAATACACATTAATGTTTGAAAGTGTAAAGTGTCATTAGATGTATGGTGTATATTTTGTATGTTATGGCACATTATGATGTTGAACTGGGATATTGTATAATCTAATACATGGGATGAGATTAGAATTTGGATTTTGCTTATTGTCATTGCGAAAATCTTATATCTCATTTGCTGTCATGGAGGTGGCAGTCAGCAGTCGGCTCTGATTGGAAAGGGTTTGATGTGTAATGGCACGGCACGGTAGGTATGTCGGTAAGCACCATATATCTGTCTTCTACGTCATTAACGGGAAGCGTTGCCGTTGCTGATAGTACCAGTACTACACACACACCGTCAAACACGCGCCTACATAGCCAGGCAAGCCCCTTAACGTACTCACACACACACACGCCCACACTCACGCACACATGCACAAACACACACATCCAGCACCCTTCTCTCGCCCATGCGGAAACATGAATGCTTCAAGCATCCAGCTGCATAATCTCCAGCTCAAACCATACAAATTGTCACGGTTTATAATGATAATGGAGAGAAAACACGGTTCGGCTGTGTGTTTTCCATCTGCTGTCAAAGACACGTCCCATTCAAGAAAATACGCCAAAGCACAACCCGAGATGGAGGAAGGAGGAAATACTATTACAGCACATGACACAAAACCACAATCTGAGAGCAAAACAGCCAAAGATACTGTCTGATGATAACTGTAACAGAGACATTACATGCATACCTGCAGGGGCATGGTGCTGGTAAGCCACCTTAACATGCAATGTCAAACCTATTTTGGGAATCACGTAAAAAAAAAACGCTCAGCGGTGCAGCTGTAGCGTTTCAGCACCACGGACAGCTCTCGGGGTTTTCAGCATTCAGACCGGGAGGTCACTTCTCTTAATATTTGAATATGTCATGCTTAAAAGCATGCACGAGTGAAAGCACACTTAGTCGTACATCCCATTTCTCACAAATCTCATCCAAACCTCTTATCCAACAACCGTTTCCGCGTTAAAACACACATCGGGATGCACTTCACCCAGCCCCTTTTTACTCGAACAACCTCCACTACTGCTGCTCCTACCTGGTCATTCCCATCCCGGGGCCTCCGACCCCCATCCCTCCCCCGGCAGCAGTTCCGTTGACCGGCTTCATGTGCTGTCCTGCCCCCGGTCCTGTTGCGGGTCCTCCGGGCATCGCCGACCCCATCATGACGGCGGCTCCCGGCTCTCCGGGCTGCCCGCCGCCCTCCATGCTCGCTTCGTTCCCCATCTCGGTCTCGGCTCAGGAGACGGGAGGGAGAGGAAAAGGTGGACGGTCAAATGCGGCGGTGTCGCTTATATATGTCGCTATTTTTCTATGTAATCGGTAAAAGAATGAATGGAAAAAGGGGGGAGCGAAAGCTGGGAGAGCGAACTCAGCGTTGCTCCTCCAACACCGCCATCATCATCATCAGCTTCAGGACCAGTAGGGCTGCCTCCTGACGTGTGACGGGAGCGCGCCGCGCGGCCAAGGCGACTGAGAGGGGGGGGGGGGGAATAAAAGCGCGAAAGGCGAGAGGAACCGAGATTGGATTAGATCAAAGTTAAATGAGCCCCTTGAGCGAAAGTGGGTCGCAGAAGCAGCAAGATTAGGATACAACAAGCAATATGGAGAGAAAAATGTTGCACAATATGACCTCAGGTTGGCGATCATCACAACGAAAATAGACACAAATTGAAAGAAAATTAAATTACTTATAATGGAGGTATTCATATCTTGTTTTCTTCCTGAACATTCATTGTCCCTGTTCACCTTGGACAATATCTTATATTAATATACCACATTCAGATGTATGCTGTCATAAAGGCTTCTGTTACCCGAATTAAGCAATTAAGTTAAACTAAATTACCAATCACCCATCAGACCATAGAAAAATAGCACTTTAATATTTCTAGTCTGCTTACAGAAGGGAATAATTGCAATGTATGAATGTTCCGCATACATGAGCCAAACACACTCTCCGTGATCACGTTATTGGATTTTCTCACAGCTATATGAAAGGCAGAATTGCGCAACCACATACGCGTGCACGAGCTATGTGGCTGTATATGCTCTTGAGACTTAAGAGACGAGAGAAGGAGAGAGTGAAGAGAGGCAGGGAGGGAGGGAGCTTCTGTATGCGTGCACGTTCACGGGACACTTTCTCACTTGAAGAAGGGCTAAAAGAGTGACACGAACGCGCAGAGGCGTCAGGATGAACGGCACCGGAGCGTCACGTGTCCAAAAACACTCCATGGTGTTACACACCTGCTGGCAGTATTCAACCTAAATGATTTCTTAATGGAATGGCTTCTGTAGGCTGTGTATCGATTATTTTTTATTAGAAATTAATTATGAGATGTAACTGTTGGTTTATGGTCCTTTGATTGATTGAAAATTGTGTTCATAGCTTCTATTTAACCAAGAGCAACTGAAATGTTTCCTGTTCAGTTCACCCATTGCAAACATTAGAAAGACCTTAACCGTTGCCATATTTAATTTGAGTGACCTGTCATAGCAGCAGCAGCAGCAACAACAGCAGCAGTGAGGACAAAATAGCATCAACACCAAACATGTTAAAGAGAAAGGGAGAGTTAGAGAAAAACAAAGGGCATTAAATCCATCCTTCCCACAACAAAAACAACAAAGTCGGTCAGATAACCGCCTCCGAGCAGCGCCTCACCCCCCAGCCTCTGGGAAAAGGTCCACTCTCTGTTCCCTTGCCAAGTGTCTCCCTCTGAGGCCAGACTTTACAGAGAGGAAGAAAAGCTGCCAGCGAACTTCAGCTGCACACTGTGCAGTGACTCTCAGCGTAAAGGGAAGAGACAGAGTGGTGCTGCAGCTATGAAAGATAGAGGAAAACAACTCTGCTCTAAGCTTCTTTCAGATTTCAGATTTCACAAATAATTCCATGAGTTTCATTTTAAGAAACTTTTTTCCCTTTTGGTCAAACTGTTTGTTCAGCCCAGGGTTAACAGGGCTAAACACAGGCATGCCCTTGTTACTGTCGGTCAAGATGACGCCGGGGCTGATTGCTTAAGTTCCTCGTCAACTTTTATTTTTTCCCCATTTTTTATTTCCTATAATTAAGCTTTAACTTGTACTATTTTATGAATGAGATTGTCTTTTTTACATTTAAATGAGCATTGTTGAGGAGAGCCTGTACGGTGGCTGACAGGGGCCAACGCGGTAAAACGGCCCAAAACACTTCCAATAAGAGATACACTCTACAGTTTCAAGAACGATGCAAATAAAACAACATCTTCTCTGTCACTAGAAAACGTACATGAAATGTTTTTTGGGTGAATTTTAATAATGTGATCACATGATTCCTTTAGATCTGCTAGCTATAGCTAACGAAGCTAACCTAATCATTTCAAACATGCTGACAAAACGTGTACAGAACAGACTAACTCTGCCAACAGTGACTGTTGGCCAGTTTTATAATCCCTCAACAAGCATTCCGGTCCCAGCTGTGTATCTCTTTTTAGTGTCTCCTTGTTTTTGTAGCATTTCGTTTATGCAGAGCTTTTAGTAAACTGTGTGCATGCTTTGTGAATGTCTAAATGCTGCCCATTTGTTGTCAAGTTGGTAAAGGTGTTCGTTCATTTGCATGTGTTTTGGCACATTGGTGTTTTTTATATTTTCCAAGTTTTTTTAAATTCATCGCGTAAGTGTATCGCGCTTGCCTCTGTCAGCCAACGAAAGCCTGAGATCTAAATGTCTTCATTGGCACAACGGTTTCTATGTAAGAAATTAACATTAAAAAAATGTCACATGATTGTATTTTCAACATTTACAATTTACGCTACAAACAAGAAGGAAAGTGAAGAAATGTATATACATTTAAAAAAATGTCATTGCCTTCAAGAATGTTCACACTACCGTGAAAGGCCTATTCTGACTCAAAAACCTAAAAGCTACCTAAAAAGGTCCTACCACAGACTTATGATTATCGGGATAACAGTAAACTCCACTGCACTTGAAAGCATCAGGTAATCCACACATACTCATCAGCACGACGTCAAGCAAAAGCAACATAGACAAATTTACATTAAGAACCAAATGGCAGCACATAACCTAAAGCAGAGCTTATGGGACACAACAGAGGCAATACAGACACCTGCCTGTCATATATAATGCAGCCTTTTAAACAGACAGGCTTGAAAAGACCAGAAAATATTTACAAAAACACGAAGACCTTGAGGAGACGCAACAAAGCTCTCCTCCATGAAGTTACAGAGTTAAAGAGAGAACTGAGACTCTTAAACGCAACAATGCTGATTTCATTCACAGCAAAGCAAATGCAAAGTTAAGCACTCCACAGGGACAACCCAGCTAAGTGCCAAACGTAGTCAGATTCTGGCTTTGTGCCAACATACGTATAGTAAGTAATTGTGCCTCCACAGAGCACTCTGTGTAGAGCGGCAGAGAAATGCTTGTTGGATACATCACCTGTTGGCTAATAATGCCAATATTGTCTAACTTACACACTTCAGTGAATACACAACAAGGTGAAAAAGCACAAGTGTGACCTTTGGGTGCCCTGCCATCTTTGTTATGTGTGTAAGATTTGGTAAATGTTACACATTAATCACAAAACCACTCATGCAGATAGTTTGGTCTAGTGCCATTTTTCATTCTCAGTTTGTTTACAGAGAGATCTGAGGATTATGGCATGGGACATTTGAGGAAACACTTTCATTCCATTGGCAACAGGATACAATTAAAAACCAATTGTCAATTCATTAGCTTCCGTGCATTAATTTGCATGATTTTACAACTTGTATTAACTGTGGGTAAACACAACACCAATATTCGGCTAACTTGTTAGCAAACAGTTAGCATTTATTTTGAGTCTTTCCTTTACTTTTTGCTTAATCTTCACCTACTCCTGAGAGAAATACCTGACTTTTAAGCTGATAAAAGCTCGACTATGTTTACCGGCTAACTGCTGTTAAGCTTTTTTAGAACCAGAATAGTTTCCGAATAAGTGTCAAATCGTCAGTTATGGATTACTTATGTTCTCTTTATCATAAATTGAACACCTGTTTTGTTAATAGATATGGCTGTTTAGTTTTGAAAGGTAGTTTTTTAAAAGTTTTAAATATACATTTTGAAATCTGATATGATACAATCTGCTAACTAAGTGATATATCTGGGGGTGGTGGATCTTTTTTTGAATATGTAATCTGGAAGAAGTTTGCCGAAGTAATAAAAGGTATATGAATGTAACACGTTATGTATGTGTAGACTTAAGATTCAAAATTCTAAGCCCCCATGAAAAAATGTTTGTCAACTGACCTCAAACACAGCTAACGCCTGCCAGTCTTTACTGACCACAGTAAGCTTAAGGACATTTTTTAATTGGCCCTTGGAGGCCATAAAATAGCCTCCAGCATTTGTCATTTCTACAGTACTAGACTGTAATGGCAAGACTCCAAGCGGTCTCTTTTCAATCTGCTATCATGAAGTGGCTGGTGAATTGTGGGACCCAACACACAGTTTCTCATCCAGTGAACAGTCTCCTGCTCGGGAAACCTGCGACACCGGGATCGATCACTTTGACAGACTGACTCATTGACGCGACTGTGGGGGCGAATACTTAAGGAGATTAAAATGAGCAACGTGCCAGCGCTCCACTTCATACCAAGCAACAGGCCGAGGCAGGGCAACCCCATTGGTTAGCCGTGGACGGTTGATAGAAGGATTTATGGGTGGGGTTGGACCCCCATCAGCACAGACTCAGGTCATTCATCTCCTTCCAGGGTGTCTATCCTTCCTTTGTCTTCACCTACCTCCACCAACAAGTCAGGAAACGAGGCATTGAGAAATTAGAGGACCACACAACTATTTTGGCTCCTCCATGAACATCACACATTTGAAATAATAAGTATAGTAATAAGTATATTTTGCAATCATTTGCACGTTTGTATTGAAATTGTTGGAAAATAATCTTTGCCTAAATGTGAAACACTGTGTGTGTATGCTTTGGAAAGGTATTTGAAATGATCAGATTATGTTGTACCTATAGATTTGGTTTGCAGTTAAAAGACAAGAGGCAAATATTTAAAAAGAGTACGGCATGCCCCTTCACATTTAAAAACCACTAGTCAAAACATGAAACAATGAATCATGGGCTATAGCATGCAGAAACAAAATAAATATTCTCCTAGAAGCATCAATGACAGCATTTCAATCCTGAAAGTGTTCAAAGATCATCACTATTGCTTCTGGCAGTTCAATTTGTT